TCGTGCTCGAGCGGATGTGCTTTACTCTTGTTCTTGACGCTCGGAGCGGCCTTATTGCGCCTCTGAGCGTCTGCGTTCCGAATTTTTGTTCTTAACGCCTCGAGCGTTTGTGTTTTCCGCTCGAGCGGAATGTCGTATAACAGAGGGCAGCTAGGCATTTTTGAATCACTTGCTCTACACTTTCTTCCTCTCTCTCTCTCTACTTTCTAAAAAGATATTTTGAGAGCCTCTACTCTCTAGAAAATTCCCTCTTCATCTTATGCGGTTTGATCTAGTTAGAGTGCTTTCCCTCCCCTTCTGCCCTTTGTAAAAAGTTGGTTGATCTGTTCGAGGGCAGCTTCGTTCTTGATCCTGTGAATAACTTGGAGTTTGGAGCATTTTTAGTTTTTCTACATCTCTCCTCTTGGGCTTTCGAAATTAGAGGTACGCGGATTCCTACTCACTTTTCATGGTCTTTAACATAAGATTTTTGGTGGATTTTGATTAATGTGTTTGAAGTTGGGAATTTTTGGACTTTTAGGGTTTCAAAAATGTCAAAGAGCGGTTTTTAATTATTTTGATGTCTAAATGAGATTTTTGAGTTCAAAATAAATCGGTATTGATGTTGATTGTTGATTATGGGGCCATGGGTGGTTTCATATATGGAAAATAGATGGGAGAAAAGGCCCTAAATTCGTTTGTAACATTAATTGGTATAATTTAATTTGCGGAAAAATGTGATATTTGAGATTGAGTTGGAAATAATGAAGTTGACTCATTTATATGGTAGACATAGATGGGAGTTGGATTTTTATAATCCGACCACTTTTGAAAACAGATATTTTATCTGTTGGAGCTTTTATTATCTGTTAGAATATAACGCTTGGGCCTACCGGTGGTAGGGTAGTTTTGATTGTTGTAGACAATAGCATGATGCATCTAGGCAACTAAAACTAATCAATTGGATAGTTTCATTAGAGTATGTTACGGCTGATAGAATACATTATGTCATGTATTCGATTGATTGTGTATATGACCTTTGTTGTATATATGCATCTGTGTGTGTCGTGGGCAGAGATAGGGGAATGTACTCCACGGTTTTATGGGAAGCACTAGGTGGATGGACTCTCTAAACGGATGTTGTTGTGGGAGTTAGATAGGGGATGGACTTCCACTGCGATACAGGCTCATATGCTTGTCAAGATAACTGCTGTGAATACATGTCATTGGAAGTGTGATACACTCATATGCTTGTCAGGGAATGTTTGATATAGCTAAATATGCATATTGGTTGAAATGTGGATATAGCTTGTATGCTCTATCTGTTGGAGATATTGATAATACCTGTTTGTGTTAATCTAATTGGTAAAAAATGGAAGAAACGTTTAATATGAGTCTTAGTCTCAGTATAAGTGGTTGGCCAGGTGTCCTGAAGACCATATAGAATTGGAATATGATAGAAATGTAAGAAATGAAGAGAAATGGATTATGTAATGGTTTTCATGAGAAATTGAACACTTATCAATTGCTAATGATCTGTAGTCAATTGCTCATACTCGGTTTAGCATAGTCTCTATCTGGACATGCTGGCTCACATCACCTATATTGGAATATCATTTTCAGGTACACGGTAGCATGCCACCTCCAAGGAGCATAGCTTGAGAGGCCTAGAGGGCGAGAGACACAGTTTTTGTTGTCTATTTCTCCTTTTGATGTATTCACAATTAAGATTCAAGCCAAGATGTTAAATGAATACTAATAATGAGGGTTAGTACTCTTTATTGTTAACCAAAGTGTTAACTTGCGGGAAAGCTGTAGAGCCACTTAGGGCATTTGCTTTTTGTCGTTACAACATGTAATACTTTTTGTAATGGAATTCTGATGAATAGGAAGAATGTGGATTTTTATATAATCAATGCCCATGTCTCTACTGATGGGTGTTTAATATTATATTTTGAGGGCGTTACAACATTGGTTACAAAGAGCGTACCGGGATTCGAATACTTTGGGGTACGTGGGCAAGTGAATTAGGATCACAATGGGTTTGTCTCGGCTTGATAAGAGACTTAGATGTAGTGTCATATGCTATGTGCTTACTGATAACATGCTTATGTGACGTATGTGGGTAATGGAATTGGTAGTTCTTCTAGGATGTTGATCTGGATCCTTGGGATTGCTGGGAGTCTTGTTGGAAAAGGCACTTGAATCAATGCCTGTTTACTAACCGGAACTCTAGTAAGCGCCTTCGGGACTATCATGTATTCCCGGAATGAAAACTCGTAAATGCTTCATGTGTTTTATGTGCTTATGTGGAGTGAATTAACAGTTGTCCAATCGCCTACCACGCCTCCGTCCTGACATCCTATCAAAAGGTAACCAAGACTAATTTAGCACATTCACAAATGTGCCGAAGCTATAAACTCGCGTCCTAATGCAGGACAACTGTAATTCACTCCACATAAGCAACATAAACACATAAAGCATTTACGAATTTCATTTCCCGAGGATGGAATGAATGTCACCCGAGGCGTTACTAGAGTTCCATGTTAGTAAACAGCATTGATCAAGGTAAACTTATTCACCAACAATGACTCCCAGGGCAACCCCAAGGATCCAATCAACATCCTAGGGAAACTACATTCCATACCCCACAATTAGTCCACATAAGCATGTGATATCAGTTAAGCACATAGCATATGACAATACATCTAAGTCTCTATCAGCGAGACAAACCCATTGTGATCCCTAATCACTTCCACACGTACCCAAAGTATTCGACCACCCGGTACCGCTCTCTGATACCCAAAGTTGTAACGCCCTCAAATAAGTAATATTAAACCCATCAGGGTAGAGACATGCATTGATTATAGTAAAGCTCCAACATTCTCTGCTATTCATCTAGTAATTCCATTACAAAAAGTATTACATGGTTAACGTACAAAAGCAAATAGCGCGTCTCAACGCGCGCTTACAGCTTTTCCAAGTTTAACACTCTTGGTTACCAATAAAAGAGTACTAACTCATTATACACATTAAGCATTTCGGCTTGAAATTTACACATGTATACATCAAAAGAATAAGACAACAAAAGTGTGTCCGCATCTAGCCCTCTCAAGCTATGTCCTTGGAGGTGCATGCTACCTAGTACCTGAAATGCTATTCCCATATAATGGGGTGAGCCAACGCCCAGTAGAGATATGCTAAACACAGTATGAGCAATGACTAAGACATTAGCAATTGATAAGTGTTCAATTTCCATAAACCAATTCATAATCCATTTCCATTTCCATTTTTTATCAATTTCACAATTTCCATCAATGGCTCAGAACCTGGCCAACCACTTATATGAGACTAAGACTCATATTAAACGTTTTTCATTTTTTTACAATAGATAAACACACAGGTTATATCAATATCTCAACAGATAAGCATACAAGCTATATCCACATTTCAACAGATATGCATATTAGCTATATCAACACTTCCCATGACAAGCATATGAGTTGTATCAACACTTCCAATGACATGTATCAACACATTATCTGACAAGCATATGAGCTGTATCAGTGGAGTCCATCCCCTATCTACTCCCACACAACATCCGGTTTAGAGGTCCATCCATATCTTCCCCTAAACCGTGGAGTACATCCCCTATCTCCTCCCACACACACAATGCATATATACACAAAGGTCATATACACAATCAATCAATACATGACATTAATGTATTCTATCAACCGTCATACTCTATGAAATATCCAATTGATTAGTTTTAGTTTGCCTAATCATCATGCATTGTCTACAACAATCAAAACTACCCTCCACCGGTAGCCCAGGCAGTTATTTCTAAACAGATAATAAAAGCTCCAACAGATAAAATATCAATGTTTCAAAAGTGGGCGATTAACAAATCCAACTCCACTATTCTACCATATAATGAGTCAACTTCATTATTTCCAACTCAATTCCAAATATCAACATTTTTCCCAATTTAATTATACCAATTAATTTACACAACGAATTAGGGCTTTCTCCCCAATTTTCCAATATTGACCCAATGGTCCATATATCAACAATCAACATCAATACCGCTATTTTGAAACTCAAAATACTCATTTTAGAATCAAATAATAAAACCCTCTTTGACATTTTGAAACCCTAAGTCCCAAAATTTCCCAATTTCAACACTTAATCAAAATCACCAAAAATCTATGTTGAAGACCATAAATGTGAGTAGGAATCCCTACCTCAATTTCGGAGCCCAAGAGGAGAAGATGTAGAAAACTAAAATGCTCCAAACTCCAAGATTCACGGATCAAAACGAAGCCCTCGACGATCAACACAACTTTTACAAAGGGCAAAGGGAGGGAAAGCACTCTAACTAGATCAAACCCTAGAGAGAAGGGAATTTCTAGAGAGAGAGGCTCTCAAAATATCTTTTTAGAAAGTAGAAGAGAGAGAGAGAGAGAGAAAGTGTAGAAAGTGATTCAAAAATGCCTAGCTGCCCTCTGTTATACGACATTCCCGCTCGAGCGGAAAACACAACGCTCGAGCGTTAAGAACAAAAATCTGGACACGCTCGAGCGCAATAAGGCCCGCTCGAGCGTCAAGACACAAGAGTAAAGCACATCCGCTCGAGCACGAAAACCAGTCCGCTCGAGCGTAGATTTCCCCCTCCCAGAACTTATACCCAGGAAGTACTACCCGCTCAAGCGCCAACAAACCCGCTCGAGCGCCACCGCTTGAGCGTAAACAAACCTACTCGAGCGCAAAAATCACATCTACAAAAGTGTAACAACCCTCATACTGTTTACCGATTAATGACTGATTATGACTGATAATTGGACTGATTAAAGTACTGAACTGACTGACTAGAAAACTGGAACTGAATTGACTGAGTATGTACGTTTGAATTGCAATCTATCTGTTGATTGTTTATTTGATCTGTTCGTATCTTAGCGTTTAAACTGCTAATTGAAGGCCTTATCGGCGGCCGAATCCGGAATTGATTAATGTTTTATGATTGTCATAATTAATGTGATTTTATGGTATAATTATCTGAAAACTGATTAGGTGTGAGTAAATTAGATTAAATATTTGATCAATTGCTTAAGTTGGCCTTATTTACCAAACTACCCCTAGTGGCCACTATCTCAATATAACATGTGAGCCTTGTATACACTTGAAACAAACATTTCCTCAGCCCTTATTCCTTGCTCTAGCCGACCAAGAGAGGGAGAGAGTGAGAGAACTTGAAGTCCATCTTGAATTTTGCTTGTTAATTGAAGAGCTTGAAGGTTGATTGTATATTTGAGCTCCTAGTCTTCTAATTCAAGGAACCTAGGTATGAATTTCATCTTTTGATTTTGTCTTTAAGTTGATTCATGCATGGTTCATGTCTAATTGTAGAGCTAAGTCATGTTTGAGTTCATACATGTTGATATAGAGCTCATTTCATGCTTGCATGTTTGAATTGATGAGTTTTGAGTTGAATCCATGGTGAAATGGAACATGCATGTTCATAATTTTGTAATGGTCCATGTTTTCAACTTGTTTTTGGATCAATTGGCTCCTTAGAGCATCAGATTGGAACTTCCAAATGATTTGAATTCATGCATGTTTGCGTGTTCATATTGTTCATGAAATTGGTTTGAAATTGGGTTTGAATTAAACACCCTTGGGCTTTGATTTCTAAATGTTTTCCAGAAAATAAGCCCAAGAGGATCGGCTTTGATGCATTTAAACTTGAGTTTGAGCTTGGAGGTGCAATCTGGAATTCCCAGATTCTTGCACTTCCGCTCGAGCGTGGGGAAGTGCCGCTCGAGCGGGGAATTCGGGCATCCAGCATCTCTGCACTGTTTTACAGTCCGCTCGAGCGGAGGATTGGGCGCTCGAGCGGAGTCATGTCTCAAGCTCGAGCGGGCGTCGAGCGGAGATTTCACCCATCCAGTACTTTTACAGTACGCTCGAGCGGGAAAGTTTACGCTCGAGCGTGTACCTTTGTTGCATGTCCGCTCGAGCGGGGAAACATGCGCTCGAGCGGGACTCTGTTTTTCTGAAAATCTTGAAACAGTCTTCTGATCACATCTTTGCATCCTCATTCCATTCTAGGCATTCTTAGGCCTAGTTTAAGACATCTCGTTGAGGATAGATGTAGAACACACCGAGGCAAATTAGGGTTTAAGTTGTTATCTTTCCCAACTGTGTAGCTTAGTGTGTGTTCAATCTGTTAACTGTGTAGGGTTGGCGACTGGGGAGACACGCTCTAGCATACTGTAGCCGGTCAAACTCTGTGAGTAACAATCTGTGTACAAGATATGTTCAAAATGAATTATCTTCTGACAATTGAACTGCACCGCTTTCTGAACTGTTACTGTTAATTAGAATGAATGTATGTCCTCTATTCTGAACTGTATTGTGCATCCTTAGCAACTACTGTTACTGACTTGTTTACTGTTACAGAGATCTCTGTCGGTTCCCTCGTGGGGAACCACTACTGTTTACTGATTGATGGCCATCATTACTGTTCGGTCCTTTAAGACCTACTGTTTACTCAAGCTACTAATGAATGTACCACATATGATTGAATAACTGTTCTGACTGAAAGACTGAAGTACTGTTTAATGAACTGATTTCATTACTATAAGGACATTTCATTCTAACCTCTTTACGCATTATGTTATTCACTGGGCTTTAGCTCACTGTTTAATATATATATGTAGGTGCTCAGCTACCAGATCGGAGCTAGGGCGTGGTTTTAGACTCCATTTTTGTCAAGCCAGCCTTTGTCCTCACTGCGAGGTTCCGAGTTGCCATGCTATGGCTTTGGGGGTTCTTGTTTTTCCCCCTCTTGTCTCCGTACTGTTTGGTTTACTGTATAGACTGTCAGCTACTAACTGTACTGTTATCAGGGATTTGGCCCTGTATCTGTGTGGACTGTAAATTTTGTATAGACTGACTGTTTGTATATGTGAATGCATGAAAAGTCTTTTGCATACAGATCTGTCACGCTCATTGGGCATTGTTTTTTAATTACTGTATTGGTTTCCGCCAGGCCCTGTACACTGTTTTACTTACTATTGTTAAGCAGGCTTCGGTAATCTCAGATTGCTCGGCCGGCTCTTACGGTGCTAAACCCATAGGGCCGGGTTTGGGTCGTGACAAGAAAGTTTTGGCAGGAACCTGAAAATACTGAAGTGTGCAATACTCCCGTCGAGCCCGCGGAATCGCCTAAAAACTGAACAACAAGGAATTGAAACCAAGGCCTAACCAACCTGTAACAACCCTGTTCAAAACATCCTAAAACTCAATCAAGTGGAATTAAAGGACGACAACAAGATAAATACCACTACCAACTTCACGGAACCGAGTCCGGAATACAACAGAACAGTAAAGGGACAACCGGGATCGCTATAATTTCAAATTTCAAGCATAGGAGATGAATTGTATTTGAACTTGCTGTTGAATTTTGCATCCAACTGCTGAATTTGTTACTGTTGCTGTTTGTGCCTCACAATTTGCCACAATTGCTACTGCAATGTGTGGGTGTTTTGTATTTTTTTTGTATTTTTTTTTTTTTTTGAGTTCATGTTCTAATCCATTTGTAGTAAAACTTAGGGCTTTTGGAGTCAACATGAGAATAGCACAAATTCCATTTTGTTTCTAGTAGCATTTGAAGATGAGTGCATTTGGGTTATTGTAAAATTTGAGATGTGTTTGTTAAACAAATCAGGACAGAAGAAGAATATGTACTTCATTTTGTTTGGCTACCCAAATGTTATTGCGCATACTCTTTCGTACCATATCTTATTTTGGATTATGTTGACATATTTGCATATAATTTAATTCGCATCGTATGTTTTGTGTGTGCAATGCATGCCTAGTAAGAGGCAATTCCTCCTTGCAATGCATTCCACCACTAGGTAAACCATGTTGAAATAAAGTTTTGAATCTTATTGATGTACCGAAAATAATTTGCAAAAATTTCTTTCATATGAGGTGTCCCTCTTCTCCTTGATATGAGTTGTTCCTTGTTTACACACTGAACCTTTTTTAGCCAACGAGTCTCTAGCTGATAAGAAGAAACAAACCATTACATTCAACCCTTAAACCAAAAAAATCATTACTACTTCATTAAACAAAAAAAAGCTATTACATTCATTATCACTTCAACAAAATGGTAGTGATCCACTATATATTACATACACATTCCACCTAGAAGTCATTTTAGCATTACATACAAGTCATACTCATTCTACCCCACATTACATACACTATTTCAAATACACTATTTATCAAAAAACATACACTACTTCAAATACACTAGAATGACAACTACCACCGACAACACAACAATAAAAGCAAAGCCGTAATTCAACTTATCACCAACTCTTTCGATCACCATTGCCATGTCTCTACATTGTTTCTTACTCTTTATAGTCATGTCTTTGAGCTCCCTATTCAAGATAATTACTTCTCTAAGAGTAGACAAGACATCCATGCACTCTTCAAGAATATCATTCTCGACCACCTTCAAATTATGCTGCATACGTAGAGAAATCCACCACTTAAAGAACTTACAGCCATTCACAGAATAAAGGCATACAAAATATAAGCAATTTGGGTTACCCGTTGACTGAGTAATCTTAACCATGGCTTTGTTTCCGCATCGACAATTGCGATTGTCGAATCTAACTTCATGAATGCTGGCCATACTTGCATTTGACGTTGAGATTGACCTACAAAAAAATATCAAATAGCAAAAACCATTTATAATATCAAGTAACCTCCAAGATTCAACAAAGAGCAAAGAGAAGCAAAGAGCATTCTCTTTTCTTTTTGTTTTCTCAATTAATAAATCCACAATCTCCAATTTATCTTCATCCAATGGATTAAGAGAGCAAAGAGCATTCAACAAAGAGCAACCTCTTACTGACTTAATTTGGTTTGTGAACAAATTTTATTCTTATTTCTCTTTTTTTTATTTCTCAATTAATAAATCCACAATCTCTAATTTATCTTCATCCAATGGATTAGATTCAACAATCTTCAATTTATGCACAATCTACAATTTGTTGCCTGTCCATTTTCATGCACAATCTCTAATTTATCTTCATCCAATGGATTAAGAGAGAGGTGGTGTTGTTGCCTACCCATTTTCATTCTCTAATCAAAATAAATATTCCCACTTTCTTTTCTTTTCTTTATGGATTTTGTTAAATTTATACCCATGCAATAGATAATATAGATATATATATATATTGCTCTTCTCTTTCTAGAAGTCAATAATCTGTATGTATATAATCACTCTCTTAGGTATATTATCAATGTGGAGACACTTAGAAAATTGTCTTGCATAATCTTGCATATAAGCAGGGTTGGTGAGATTAAGACTTGAATGAGTTTTTGAATGCAATATGAGTTGAACTTTACATGGAGAAAATCAAATTAAGTAGATTACTAACAAGAATGAGTCATTGTATTCATCAACAATACACCAACAACAACAATGTAAATACTCTCCTAAAACAACAATAAAAATCTAACATGAAATTATAAATCCATGAACAATATGAAACTATGAACACAATTTATATGTTCAGTGCAGAACCACTATCATGCACAATGAAAACCTTAATTTTTTAAAGCCCCAAATCAAAGCTCTATTTTTTTTTTAAATTTCAAATCTGCTTTACTTTCTCAATCAAAATCCTAACTTTATAATATAGATTTAAAATTAGATTTTAGAGTTTAGAGGAGAAAGCTATCTAGATTTCAGAGTTTAGAGGAGGAACCTAGTTCAATCTACGGCGTGAGAGAGCTCCAGCAGACAACAATGGATAAAGACTGATGATCTTCTCAAAAGATTTCTTCACTCCGACAGATAACAATGACTGATGGACAATGGTCACCGATGAAGAATGGTGGACGGTGGACGCCAGTGGAGAATGACGACAATGGCTGGGATCGTTCGTTTTTGCATCTCCTCTCTCTCTCTCTCTTCATTTGTTGTCTCTCTTCTCTTTAACATTTTGGGGGATTTTGGATTTGAATTTTTTTTTTTACGCTGAAGCAATCTGAGCCACAGATTACTTAATAGGGTGACGTAACGCAATATGGGCCGTCCCTTGGAGGAAATACTGGAGAGAATGACTGGAGATGATTTGAACACCCGTTAGAGTGAGAATTTGACTCCAAAAGGAATATTTTAAGCGTAATAAATGAGTTTGCTGTTTTGTTAAGATATAAACCATTGAATGCATTAAGAGTCCACGTGTCACTTTATCATCAAAAGATTAGAAGGTCCTTCAATCCCTTTAGAATTAGAGAGGAGCCAAACTTTTATTTGTGTAATCATACAATTAAGCCTTCGTTTGACATCTCAATTTTGGGTTAAAATAGTCATAACATAACAAAACAAGTTAAAAAGTTAATAAAACAAAATATCACATCCAAATCATAATAATTTTATTTTTTCTCTCATAAAAGTCAAAAAAATCAAAAAACTCATCACAAACGAAACTTTTTAACCGAGGCTAAAATAACTAAAAATCCAATCCACATCCCAAACGAATCCTAAGAATATTTAATTAGTTTATTTTTTTTCATAAATAATTAAATAGACAAATACTGGGGTAAATTACATTTTGCCCTCTGAAATTTTAATATTTTGTCTTTCTTAGAGGTTGTTTGGGGTGTCTTAAATAAGTGATTTTTTGTCTTTTTAAACTAAAAAGTTGAGGTTGAAAATATGCATGTTTGGGTTAACTTTTTGACTTTTTATGAAAAAATGTGTAATAAAAAATTGTAAAAATTAGTTTGTAGGGGAAAATTAGAATTGAGAATTGTACAGCCGTAATTATTGACTTTTGATGAATAATGATAACTTTTTAAATAACTTTTTAACTTTTTTGAAACTTCCCAAACTTAACCTTAATTTTTGAAGTATTTTTTCTTCACTTTGACTTTTATCATTTGAAATTTTTCCACATTTACTTCCAAAACAAAATTCCATCCAATTTTGGACGGTAAATGCCACTATGGCAGTCATGCGGCATAAAATGTGTAAATTATGTTTTGTCCTTTTTATGTTTTACAATTTTTTCACTTTGGCTTTTAAAATATTTTTTCTTCCAACTTTAGGCCTTAATGTTTATAATTTTAGATTTAATTACTTAAGAGTCATATTTACAAATGTTATGGTAACTCAAGTCCTATTTAAGATTTTTTGAGCCACTAAACCCTATTTAGTAAAGCTGAGAATATTATCAATTTTTTTAAAATTTTAAAACTAGGAACATTTTCAATTTTGCATAGTAATGTTCTAGATAATTGTTTCATTAATTATAACTGATAAAAAAACATAGCATGAGATTAAACATTTTTGCCTTTCTACTTATTGGTTTGATTCAACTATTCAATAAAACTGAAAACATTATCAGTTTTTTTCAGTTTTAAAATTGAGAACATTATCAGTTTTTTCATTTTTAAAAGTTTTTTTTCCCTCAATTTTGCACATCAATGTTCCATTATCATGCTTATTTATAAATAAAAAAAAATTTCGTTTTGCACAAAAAAAATAATTCAGTTTTTCCAATTTTTACAAAAAAGAAAAATTTGCACAAATTTTTTTTTTTCAATTTTAAGGTTGATATTTTAAAGTGTTGATATTTTAAAGTTTTGTAAATCAAAATAAATGTCAAATCATCATTTTTTTTTTATAAATAATCATAAACAACAAACAATCATTATTTTAAGGGTACTTCAAACTATTAAAATTTTAATTGGACTTGAAAATCTAAAAAATCTTAATTATGACTTAATAGAGTATAAGTTCATAAATTAGGGTTTATGTGTAAATGTCTCATAATTTTAATCAATTTACTATCTTCCAATTTTGGATAAAAAATGCCACTTTGCATAAAAATAAATAAATAAACATATATATATTAAAATTCGGCTAAGTTTTCATAACTTTTTTTTTTTGAATAATTAGAAAAAAGTTGTACAAAAATAAAAATATATATTTTTAAAATTTCAAAAATATTTCCACTCCAAAAATAGATAATCATATAAAAATAATTAGTTTTTTTTTTTATTACCAAACCAATTGTTTTTAATTTTTTTCAAAAAATAAATTATAAAAACTCAACTAAATAGAAATGAATTTAGGCCAAGTTTGGGAACTTGTAAAAAACTCAAAAAGTCAAAAAATTACTCAAAAAGTTAAAAGTTAACACTATTAACCAAAAGTCAACAATTACGGCTGCACAACTCCCAATTTGAATTTTTCCTTACAAATCAATTTTTACAATTTTTTATTACATATTTTTTCATAAAAAGTCAAAAAGTTAACACAAACATCTATATTTTCAACCTCAATTTTTTAATTCAAAAGGATAAAAAGTGCACTTATTTAAGACACCTCAAACAACCCCTTAATGTATGATCGATGGTCGTAATATAGGGTAAGACAATGAATGAAGGGGAAAAAAAGAGGTAGAAAAGCGATAAAAGTTGGGGCCTACCCTTTGAAAGTGGTTAATTTTTTGATTTTTTTACTTTTTTGATTATTTTAGTCTGGGATTAAAAATTCAGGTTTGGAAATAGTTTTTGATTTTTTTTATTTTTTAACTTATTTGTGAGATAAAGAATGTAATAATTATAAATTAGATGTAATATTTTATCTTATTAAATTAAAAATTTTATTTTATTTTTTATAATTATTTTAGAAAGAGGTAGAAAAGCGATAAAAGTTGGGGCTTCCCTTTGAAAAGTGGTTAACTTTTTTATTTTTTAACTTTTTTAATTATCTTAGTTTGGGATTAAAAAGTCTGGTTTGGAAATAGTTTTTAATTTTTTTTATTTTTTAACTTTTTTGTGAGAGAAAGAATGTAATAATTATAAATTAGATGTAATATTTTATCTTATTAAACTAAAAATTTTATTTTATTTTTTATAATTATTTTAGTCCAAAAAAAAACTCACAAACAAACTTCCTAATCGAAGCTGTCCGTGGTCTCAATTTCTTTTTTGAGCAGAAAAGTGACTTGAGATTATGAAGACTTGTTCAAGTAAAAAATAGTCTGAAGTCTCAGAAACGAAACCTGTGTTAGGCCGTATTTGGAAACTCTGGTTTTAATTAAAAAATTATTATAAATTAGCAAATTATTTTAAAAAAAATGTTCTAAACACTTAATTTATCACTTTTAAAAAATCACATATAATGATTTGTCTGACACATGTTAAATTTTAATTTATCAAATATTTAATTATGTAAAATTTAACCTCAATGTCATATTATTAGGGATCATTTAGAGGTATATATATTATATATTATATAATTTATATAATATATCAAATTCAATTCGGGTTCGGGTTGCTCGGGTTGGCCATTGGTTCTGCCCAAGCCCTGCCCGAATTGCAATTCGGGCATAAAAAATCTGCCCAAACCCGTCCAGATTACAAGATAAAGTTGCCCAAGCCCTAAAAAAACTCGGGCTGGGCTCGGGTTGCTCGGGTTGAGCCCACCCGAGTTGCACCCCTAAGTCTCATACCTGAAACCTGTGTTAGGCCGTATTTGGAAACTCTGGTTTTAATTAAAAAATTATTATAAATTGGCAAATTATTTTTAAAAAAAATGTTCTAAACACTTAATTTATCACTTTTAAAAAATCACATATAATGATTTGTCTGACACATGTTAAATTTTAATTTATCAAATATTTAATTATGTAAAATTTAACCTCAATGTCATATTATTAGGGATCATTTAGAGGTGATAAATTAAAAAGATATAACATTACTTTCTTTTTTTTTCCATGTTACATCCCACAATATAGTATTAACATTTTGATCCCAATGAGGTTGAAAAGAGAGAAAATAGAAAGAGGAGAGATGAAGAGTGTGAGTCTACTCCCTTCACATAATTCATTTCATATTAAAAGTTGTGTTAGGAATTCTAAAATATCAAATTTTTTATCAAACCTTATACACATATAATTTGTATGAATTTCATATCCATATAAGATATTTAATAAAAAAATTAATAATTTATTTAAAATTCATATCATTTTCCTTGTATTAATAGCAGTGAATTAGGGAGTCTCAATTAATACTTTTCTTTTTTTTATATTTTTACCTTATCTTCCATAAAAATCTAAAAATGACGAACTGACAGCATGGGCAATTGGCAGGGGGACAGCCTATTCTTGTATCCTTTGTACGTTCTCTTGGATTTTGTTTCTTTAATGGGAGTTGTTTCGATAAATTTATTTTTTAAGAGTTTTATTCTATTTAATTTATATATTTTTTTGACTATTTTATTAGGTCTAATTTGAGATAAGAAGACCAAAATACCCTTTTCATCTACTTATGTTCCATTTAGTTCATATTATTTTCTTATATTTCAATAAGTCCTATGGGTGACATAATTACCAAAATACCCTTAATGTGAATGTTCACATCGTCAACGTAAATGTTCATATCGTCAATGTGTAGGGGCCCGGCCCATGTCGATCCTCGTGGGTGCCCGAAAAAATTCGAGTCGTTTACCTCCTCTACACAGGCCAAAAAAAAGCGGCCGAGCCCGACCGCAGCCCGAGGGCGGCTTTGGGCCCCCGACCATTGCGGGGAAAAACGCAACTGTGAATACTTCATATTGGATTTAACATGCACATGGATAGAGGTATAAAGTAGCCCGCGTCCCGTGGCTGCCCGAACCCGCCACGGCCCAGTGGGTGGGCCGCGGGACGGCCAGCTTCGGTCCGGGCCTGGTTGACAATAGTGAATATTTACATATTTGACATGTTTAACATTCACATTGATAAAGTGTGTTACAAATGGCCTCCGTGACCCCGTGTGCGCAGCCCGAAGCCTGACCCAGGCGGGGGCGGGGCCGGCTTGTTTAGCCTATGTGAATATTCAAATTGACAATGTTAACATTCACATTGATAGGAGTGTTAAAATTGGCGGCGCAGGCCACGCTGGCGCTGGCTCGAGCCTTATCCAGCCCGAGTGTGGAGGACCTTGGGCCCGACCCGTGACATCAGAGGTGAATTTCCATTGAATGTCACATTAACATGTAGGAGTGTAACATTTGTCCGACATGCGCCGAAGCTCGCCCGCTGGCCGGGTAGCCCGGACCCAAACCCGGCCGCCCACGGCTTCAAGCCGCCGTTGGACGCGGAGTCAATTTTACACTCTTATAATAGTGAATGTTTAACTTGTCAATGTGAATATTCACATGTCAACAGGCCGAGCCGGGCCCGCGCGGGCCGCCACGGGCCGTGGGCGTGTATTTCGGGGGCCACGGGCACGGCTAATGTTACACTCTTATCAATGTGAATGTAATAATGTAATGTGAATATTCACGTTGTCAA